AAATAGACAGTTCCATACAGGATTAACCAAGGAGGAACATGCTGAGACACATAATAGTTACACTGAAGAAAATGAAAAACGGAGAAAATATTAAAAGCTACAAATAATACACAAGGAGGATGTCCCGGATGGTCCGATAGTTTAGAATCTGCTTTCCCGTGCAGGGGACATGGTTTCAACCCCTGATCTGGGAAGATTACACTTGCTGTGGGGCACTGAGCCCGTGCCCCACAAGCACTCAGCCCGTGCTCTGCAACAAGAGAAGCCACGGCAGTGGGAAGCCCACACACCACAATGGACAGTAGCCCTTCTCGCTGCGACTGGAGAAAGCCTGCACGCAACAATAAAGACCCAGTGCAGCCAAAACAACAACAGTAATAAAGTTTAAAAAAGAAAGCACAGCCCTGCTGTCAAGGAGCCACAGTCTGAGGGGAGACAGGAGAGAGACAGATCTGTTTCAGCATGCATCATGAGAAAGAATATGTGTATACTAGGGAATATTCATAAGACTATCAGCTAATATTTTAGCAGACACTCTACAGGCCAGATGGGAGGGGCACTGTATATTTAAAGTTATGATAGGGAAAACCTACAACCAAGGATACTCCTCCCAGCAAGGCTCTGATTCAAATTTGTTGGAGAAGTAAAAATCTTCACAAACAAGCAAAAGCTAAAAGGATTCATACCAACAATCCAGCTTTACAACAAATACTAAAGAATTTCTCAAGGGGAAAAAAGAGACCACAATTAGGAATCAAGAAAAAAAATGAAATGGAAAAACTCACTGGTAACTGCCAACATACAGTAAAGGCAGGAAACTATTCACATAGAAATATGATATCAAAACAAATAATCATGATAGGAGAAGGGTACAAATGCAAGGTATTTAAATGAATTTGAAATTAAGAGACCACCTTAAAATGATTTTATATATATATATATATAGAGAGAGACTGTTATACCAAAACCTAAGGGTAACAAATAAAAAATCTATAATGAATTTACACACAAAAAAGAAAAAAGAATCAAAACATAACACTGAAGATAGTCATCAAATCATAAGAGAACAAAAGAGGAAAAGGGGAAAGAAAGACCTATTAAATTCAAAACAAAAAATAAGAACACTCATCTCAATAATTACCTTGAATGTAAACCGATTAAATGCTCCACCAATAGACACAGATTGGCTGAACGGATTAAAAAATAAGACCCATATTTATGCTGTCTACAAGAGACCCACGTCAGATCTAGAGACACATGTAGACTGAAAGTGAGGGGATGGACAAAGGTATTCCATGCAAATGGAAAGCAAAAGAAAGCTGGCATGTGGGGCTTCCCTGGTAGCTCAGTGGTAAAGAATCTGCCTGCCAATGCAGGAGACACAGGTTCAGTACCCCATCCGGGAAGATCCCACACACTGTGAAGCAACTAAGCTGGTGTATCACAACTATTGAGCCCTAAAGAGTCCGAGAGCCCACTGAAGCCCGTGTGCCCTAGAGCCTGTGGCCACCAACAAGAGAAGTTGCCACAATGAGAAGCCTACACACCACTAGTGAGTTGTCCCCACTTGCTGCAACTAGAGAAAAGCCCACACAGCAACAAAGACCCAGCACAACCAAAAGTAAAAGAAATGAATAAAGAGAATTATATACATATAAAAAAGAAAGCTGGAGTAGTAATACTCATATCAGACAAAATAGCCCTTGAAATAAAGACTGTTACAAGAGACAAAGAAGGACACTACATATGATTTTTTAAAATTTTTATTTTGTATTGAGGTATAGCCAATCAGCAATGTTGTGGTAGTGTCAGGTAAATAGCAAAGGGATTCAGCCATACATATACAGGTATCCATTCTCTCCCAAACTCCCCTCCCATCCAGACTGCCACATAACATCCAGCAGAGTTCTGTGTGCTATGCAGTAGATCCTTGTTGGTTATCCATTTTAAATATAGCAGTGAGAAGGACACTACATATGATTGAGGATTCAATCCAAGAAGAAGATCTAAGAATTGTAAATTTATATGCACCCAATGCAGGAGCACCTCCATATATAAGGCAAAAGTTATCAGACATAAAAGGAGACACTGACAGTAACAAAATAATGTGTGTGTGTGTGTTAGTAGCTCAGTCATGTCTGACTCTTTGTGGCCCCATGGACTGTAGCCCTCCAGGCTCCTCTGTCCATGGAATTCTCCAGGCAAGAATACTGGAGTGGCTAGCCACTCCCTTCTTCAGGGGATCTTGCTAACCCAGGGATCAAACGTGGGTCTCCTGCATTGCAGGCAGATTCTTTACCATCTGAGCTAGTGGGGTACTTTAACACTCCACTTACACCAATGGACAGATCATCCGGATGGAAGATTAATAAGGAAACACAGGCCTTAAATGGCACATTAGACCAGATGGACTTTATAAAGCATCCTGTCTGAAAGCAGCAAAAAATGCACTCTTTTCAAACATACATGCAGCTGTCTCCAGGGTAGATCACATGCTAGATTACAAAACAAGCCTTGGTAAATTTAAGAAAGCTGAAATCATATCAAGCATCTTTCCAACCATGACACTATGATACTAGAAATCAGCTACAATAAATAAACTGCAAAAAACACAAACATGTGGATTTTAGCCCTGGTATGTTTCACTCAGACTTTCCACTGGGATTACTAAAACATCAATATATTTGTACCATTTTTCAGATGAGAAAACTGAATACTGTGACAAGCCCCTCCCTGAGACTACTTTAGTTGAATAAGGACCTGCAGCAGAAACAAACTCCTGGTCCCTGTGGCCTGCTAGATGAAGGCCAAATCCTATGGGTCCCTCCCTTGACCTTCTATGCTCATCATAACCTTGCCCCAGCCCATTTGTCCCACCTCATCTCCTGCTGTTCTGGCCATCACCCCAATAGGCCACCCCCTCTTCTTGCCTCCACACTTTCACGCTGCAATACTTTGGGTCAAGTGGAAAAAAGTCAGGTAGAAGAACTAGGTCCAAATTATCCACTCTATTACCTGCTGTGTGACCTTGGGCAAGTTGCTTAACTTCTCTGAGTCTCCCTTTCCTCAGCTGTAAAGTGAAGAAAGGTCTAAAAGGCCCAAGTCCCAGCCTAGCACCTGCCTGCCACACTGTAGACTAATTAACGTGCAGTAATTGAAGGAAGGAAGAGCGGCATTTACTGCGCCCCCAACGAGTGCCAGACCTGTGGAGACACCGGGGATAGTGTGGTGAACTGGCAGACATAGTTGTTGCTTTTCTGGAGATTTTTCTCCAATGGGCTGCAGATGTGGTTAATGGCAGCAGGAAGCGAAGTAACTGGGGCCTTGTAACTCTGGGCAGGATTTCTCCCGAGCTGATGGCCTTGAGCCAGGGCCGAGGGTGGGAAGCGCCCTAATGTCACAGCAGCGGAGAGGAGGCTTTGAACTGCACAGCCCTCCCACCCCCTCCCCACCCCATTCACTCAGCTTCCATGGTGGGAGCCTGCATCTGCTTTACAGGCCTCCCTGTAAGTGGCACCCCTAGCACTTAGCAGTTGGAGGAAGCGAGTTCGGAGAGCTGCAGAAAAGGCCAGTGAGAGGAGAGGCCTTTAGGCGTCACCCGTGCAGTGAGGCCCAGCCCAGTGGCCCTTGGCAACACCCCAGCCTCAAGTGGGTCCCTTGGCAGGAGGACCTGGCTGGGCCTCTCTCCGGCCACTCTCTGTGGGACGAAGGGCCGAGCAAACGAGCCCCAGTCTCTCTGGTCCCGCCTGAACTCCCCACCTGTCTCTGCTTCTCAAACCCACACACACTTGATCATAAAAGGAGTAGGTGGGAGCAGGGAGGAGGTCAAGGGTTAACCAGAGGCCCCTCAGCAATCACTTCAGGTCTCCACTGTTTTCTTCAGAAACCTTGGGAATTTTGCTTTTCACTCCCCGGTACATCAGAGTCTGATTTCCTAGAACCCAGTTCCCTCCCCTCCTGCCACCAAGGGCCGGAGTACATCTGACGGCAGAGAAGGTCCCCTTCCCTTCTAGCCATGGCTTTCCTCAGGCCCTGGCACAGTCCCTGTCCCCACAGACACGCTCCCCCTCCTTAGAAGGCAGCCTTCCCATCCTCTCCTCCTGGATCGTACCCCCCCACCGTGTCACCAACGTCCTCTGAACCCGACCTCCACTCTGTACCACAGCCATTTGTTTCTCTGACTGCCTCGGCCTCCACGGTGGCCACCCTCTATGCCCCCAGTCCTCAGCACAGGCCTAGCCCTGAGGTGGACCACGCGGGGAAAAATGAGAGAATGAATGAATGAATAGGAAGGGCGATGGCTACTCAGGGGCTGTTGTCAGCTTTCCAGAGACGTCCACACCCTAATCCGGGAAATCTGTGAACATGCTGCCTCAAAAAGCAAAGGGTTCCTTGCAGGGCTGTTTACATTAAAGATCTGGCGATAGGAGGAAATTCTGCCCTGGACTGCAGATTCATCCTGGACCTGAAAGTTCTGCCGTCCCTTCCTGACAGCCTGCCTGGCAGACTTCAGACCTGTCTGGCCCTCCCACAGCTGCAGAAGCCAGTTCCTCACCATCAATCCATCCATCACTCAGTATTGTCCACTGAAGGAAGGCACAGCCTAGAAGTCGAGCATTACTTAATATTCATTCAGTGACCTTACTGAGACTAGTCCAACAGCCAGTCTCTCAGGAGCTCTGCAAGGCTGTTCCAAAGAGGTAAAGGAGACAGGACGTATAAGAGTTTTCACTGAAAAAAGAAATATCCCCCAATCCCCTCTGGAAAAAAACACAAACAGGTAGTAGAACATCAAATAATTACTGCTAATCAAAAATTTATGGTTACCAAGGGGGAAGGGGTGTGGTGGGATAAATTAGAGGTTTAGAATTAACAGATAAACACTACTATATATAAAATAGATAACTGAGAAGGACCTACCATATAGCACAGGGAACTATACTCTATATCTTGTAATAACCTATAAGAAAAAAGAATCTGAAAAATACCTACTCTTTGTATATATACATAACAGAATCACTGTACTATATACCTGAAACTAACATGATCTTGGAAATCAACCATACTTCAATTTAGAAAACTCAATAACACAGAAGCTAGAAAGTTCTGTTTGTTTTCTGCCTGGGGTCCCCTTGAGGTGATGTAGATCTTTGGTGAAATGCTCAGAGGGGCACCATGGAGGGAGGCAGAAATCAGAGTGAGAGAGGTCATACGTGATGCTATGTCACAGCCTCTCCCCTCTACCTGCCAACAAAGGACAGACAGAGCAAGAGGTCAGGGCTGGTGTCATGAACTGGGCTCCCTGATCATGTCACTGTTGGGCAAATAAAAAGGTGTTGGTTTCCTATTAAGCTTTTTAAAAATAAATGCAGAGGAAGCAGATCTAGAGACATGAACAAATTGGTGACACTTATTCTGTATTTTTTAAAAAAATACTTTTTGAACAGTGGTACTTGAAGCTTTGTGACTCACCTTGAGCCAAGAGGGAGAATTTAGGGAAGAAAATGACATGTTCTGAATACAAGAGGATTTAAGGTTTTCTCTTCCTTTGGGAAAATGGCATAGTCCAGGCAATAGCCTAAAACAAGTCAGGAGACCAGCCCAGTTTCCCCCTCTGTCTTGCTTCCCCCCTAACAAGGTGCCTTCTTCTCTTGGCTCCCTACACTGCCCTGGCAGGGGCCAAGTCCAGCCCTCCTACAGACTCTCATAGCTCCGGGTGAGCTCTTCCAACTTCTTCTGCAGCTCCGCGGCCAGCTGCCTCATCCTTTGTGCTGACTCTGTCTTTGCCCCTTCATGCAAGTGCTTTGCCTCTTTCACCAGTAAGGCCACATCCATCAGGAGGGCAACACCTGCCGTGGCTGCACCCATGATCCGGGCGCCTTTGGTCATTGCCAGAGCTGTTCCTCCAAATGCTCTCTGCACCTGCTTGCCGCTTTGGGCGGAGACTCGCCCCGTAGTCATGAAGCGCTTCGCGTGGGACGCTAAGCGAGGGTTGACTTTGGCCAGCTTGATGGCACGAACATTTTTCCCAATGCCTTGCAAGGCTTGGATGAAGTTCTTTGTAGAGGAAACAATCTGGGGTGTGCTTTTCTGTAAAACCTCTGCAAACGCCCCCTCTTCAATGATAGCTGTTGGCACAAGGCGACTGGCTTCAGTTTCTGCTGATGATCTGCTTACGTGTTCCACGATGCTGGTGGACACGCTGGTCACAGCAGCCGCTGCTCCCAGCCCTAACCCAGTGGCTGAGAGTCCCAGACTGATGCCTGCTGTCACGGGTGCCAGAGCCAGGCCAAGGATGGTCAGGACGCCAGACACAGCGCCGGCAGAGTTGGCCACCACGCTGGAGATGGTGCAGTCCCTGTGCACCTTGTCGACCTTGTCTGCCAGCGCATGGAGCTTTGCTATGCTGTCCTCCAGCTCCTGTTTCACCCGAGGAAATTCCTCCAAAAACCGCTTCCTGTCCAGCTGGTCCTTTTGTGGCCTGTGTTGGTCCTCCTCTACCAAGTCTGTTTTCAGCTCCAGCAGATATTCATGTATGGCATCTGTCTCTTCCCTGTAACAGTGAACATCACGGGACTCCATAAAATAGTCTTGACAAGAGCTATCCTGTGTAAACCACAGGTATTTTATTACGAATCACAAGGAAAGAATTTTACAAATGTAAAATGTTTTTCAACATTAAGCATGTTTGGACATTGTAGATGCTCCATATACTTATTTTGTCATGGGAAAAATCAGCGAAGGTCATCTTAGAATATGCTTAACTTCAGAGAGTTATTTGATAAAGATGCCTCAGAGGCAGGTCAACACCAACACTTCCAAAGAGTTTTTAGAGTGGGAACGCCACAGAGAAACAAAGAAAAGTGGGCTTGGAGGAGAAAACCTTTGTTCAAGGGCCTCAGTGTCTAGTGAGGAGTCAACCTGCTCTTTGTCCTTGGCTACTGGAAAGTGGTCCTTATAAGCCCTAGAATATTCTGGCTGATAGGAGTGTCCTCCTCTGCCTGGGACTTTAGACACTGGACAGTATGACAAAGTGACGTAATGGGGCCTTGGGTCACGTGGTGTCAGTTCTCACCTCTGGAGGAGCTGGACTCTAGGGCATTAGTCTGACCTCTGGGTGGGGGCTGGAGAAAACAGGTCAGGATAACTTGTTGTTAAAAAGGGTGAGGGTCCCTGGTGGGCAGTGTTCCGTGTGTCCTGCCACACACTGAATACAGGACAGTAATGCATCCTGATGAAAATGGAAGCTTTGTGTGTGAAACCCACCCAGACTCTGCCCTGTGGCTGATGGGAACATTCATCCTTCCCTGTAATAAACTGTAACTGGGATCATGAAGCTTTCAGTGAGTTCTGTGCATCCCTCTAGGGAATTCTCAGACCTTCGAGTAGCTTTGGGAACCCCCAAACTTGCCATTGATGTCAAATGTAAGGACAGTCCTGGGGACTGTGCCCTTGCAATTTACAGATTGGCTAACTCTGTGTACATAGAATCTTTTTAAACACATTACTCAGAGCTATAAGGACCCTTAAAGGTCATTTTGCCTGGCATCTGCTCTCCCTCAAGCCTGATAACATTGGCCTTCCCAGCTGCAGGTCACTGGGTCTACCCACTGTCCCAACTGATAGAGAACCAGGAGCTGTGCTGTGAGCCTGTCTCCCTGGGACTCTCCAGCACATCTCCCCGACTCCTGATTCATCACCCAGCACCCTGACTCTCAGGGGTCACCAGTCTAACTCACACAACTGCCTGCCCTCCAAGGCTGTGTACAACTTTATGGAACCTCTAAAGATTCAAGAGGCTTGAGGAAACACCCATCTGAACAGCTGAGCCTGAGGAGACCGGCACTTGCACAGCTGGTGGAGGAAGCGTTTTCCTCTTGGGTGGGGATGTGTGAGGCTCCTTAGAATCCCTCAAATGACACACAATTGCAGCCACTCACTGTGGGCCTGAAGGGCTCACTGAGCCACACAGCCTTCCACTTAGATTAGACGAGGGTCCCAGATGGAGGGAGAACCCAGGTCCCAGGCAGGGTGTGCAGACAGGGTCACCCAGGGCCCTCTAGCCCAGCGTGAGGGGACCCCGTCAGGGAGGGAAGAAATGTCCCCCCTCCCACTCAGGGGACCTCAGCTAGGGTCACAGCCCCTTCGGTTTGTGTCCTTGAGGCCCACTCTCCTCACTCTAGTCCTGGCCCTGCTGCCCAAGCCTGTCTACTAGTCCTCCAACTTGGACCCTCTGCTCCACCCTGACTCCTGGGTCTGACCCTGATGCAGGCCTCCCTGGGCCTTTGGACGAGATGATTCCATTTGGTTCCCCACCTCTGACCCTGCAGTTCACTCTGAGGCCATCACCATAATCCATCAGACTGAATTGCTATTCCCATTGGACACAGGACAGATCTGATGCTCCAAGACATAAGCCCAGAGCCCCAGAGCTGGGCAGGACTAGAGCCAGGACCCCACCAGCTCCATTCAGTTGCTCTCCAGCCTCTCTGCCGTATGGGGCAGCAGGATCTTGCAGGGCTGATACAGTTCCTAAGATGGGGAATGAGAGCACTCTAGTCAGCATCCCAGGAATGCAAAGTGATGCTGGTGTCAGGATTTTATGACTTATCCTAAATAGGGCCCCACCTGGTTTTCATCACCAGGAAAAAGGACCTTGGCCCCTGTCTCTTTCCAAAAAGCTTATTTTAAAGGTTAACGTTGAACGCCTACTCTGTGGGCTTCCCTGGTAGCTCAGCTGGTAAAGGATCTGCCTGCAATGGAGGAGACCCCAGTTTGATTCCCAGGTCAGGAAGATCTCCTGGAGAAGGGATAGTTTACCCACTCCAGTATTCTTGGGCTTCCCTGGTAGCTCAGACAGTAAAGAATCTGCCTGCAATGCAGGAAACCTGGGTTACATCCCTGGGTTGGGAAGATCCCCTGGAGGTGGGCATGGCAACCCACTCCAGTATTCTTGCCTGGAGAATTCCATGGACAAATAGCCTGGTGGGCTACAGCCCATGGGGTTGCAAAGAGTCGGACACGACTGAAGCAACTAATCACCGCACAGCACACCGACTCTGTGTCAGTCATTACAGAAGCACTTTGCATGCATGACCTCAGTGTCCTCACAATAAAACTGAACAAATGAAGAAACTAAGGCCAAGAGTAGATCGATAACTTGTCCAAGGCCATGTAACCTGCCCCTTTCTTTGCACGTTTCATCTCTTCTCAACCTGAGACCGTTCACTACCAGAAAATGACACGGAGGAAATTTTCCTCATAGAATCTTGAGAAGGAACATCCTCGACCCCCAACCATAGTCCTGCCTGGAGGAGGTGTGCCTGCCAGGAGGAAGCTACCCTGGTGCAGGGGGATACAGGTGACATTTCTGATGCACTCGTGCATGTTACCTGGACAAATCAGCCTCAGCCACAAAACTCTCCCAGGCTTCCTCTTCAGTGAGCAGGAGTTCCAGCTGTTCTCTGCTCACTGTGTCCTGCAAATACTGAATGATATCCTCAAAAAAGTTTTCACTCTCTAGACGGAAAAAAAAGATTAGAGGAAATAATGACAGAATCTAAATGGTATTGAGTATAAACTGGTTAATCTTCCTGAGTAGCAGTCATCCGGGGTTCCTGTTGATCAATTCACCTGGGGTTATGGGTGGACTGTATCCACCTCCTATCCAATTCATAAGTTGAAGCTCGAACTCCCCACCCCCATGACTAGTAGAAGATAGGGCCTTTAAGGAGATAATTATAGTGAAATGAGATAACAAGTGAGGGGCCCTAATCCAATAAGATTGGTGTCCTTATTTGAAGAAGACACCAGATATCTTCCTCCCTCTCTTTCCTGCAGCATAAAGAGCTGTTAATTTTTCTTATTTATTCTGCTTCACTAAGAGTGAAAGGAATCCAGGGCATACATGGAAGGAATCCACAGCACTAACTGTGTGTTGATTGATTGGGGTGAGTGGGAGAAATAGCTGAGTCTCTGCAGGGGTGTTTGAGATCAATAGAACCAGTACTGGGTACTGCCTGAGGCAGTCACACCTGGCAAACAGGTGTTTATATATGGGAGCACTGAACAGATGCCCAAACACAGCATGGAGGAAGGAGGGTCCTGGAGGAGGGGGAGAGGTTTCCATCTGGAACTAACATATTTCAGGTAGAGGGGACAGCACCACACTAGGCAGGGCCTAACACATGGCCCAGGCCACACTTGTTGTTGTTCAGTAGATAGGTCCTGTCTGACTCTTTGCAATGCTATGGACTGTAGCATGCCAGGCTCCTCCGTCCTCCACGATCTCCTGAAGTTTGCTCAAATTCATATCCATGGAATCAGTGATGCCATCAAACCACCTCATCTTCTGTCATCCCCTTCTCCTTCTACCTTCAAACTTTCCCAGCATCAGGGTCTTTTCAAATGAGTCAGCTCTTACCATCAGGTGGCCAAACTATTGGAGCTTCAGCTTCAGCATCAGTCCTTTTAATGAATATTCAGGACTGATCTCCTTTAGGATTGACTGGTTTGATTTCCTTGCAGTCCAAGGGACTCTCAAGAGTCTTCTCCAACACCACAGTTTGAAAGCATCAAGTCTTCGGGGCTAAGTCCGCTTTATGGGCCAACCCTCACATCTGTACATGGCTACCAGAAAAACCATAGCTTTGACTATAAACACCTTTGTCAGAATGGCCCAGGCCACAGACACACATTGTATTTGATTCTCATAACAACAAAATGTAATATTCTTTTCATTTTACAGGTGAGTTCAGGTAAGGTAATCCAGGTCACACAGGTGGGAGGTGGCAAAGCTCAGACTGGGGTTCAGTTCAGAGTCTACTGACCCTTGAAAAGTGACTAGGCTGGTGGCAGGGGGAGAGCCAGAGGAAGCAGCCTCTGTGGAGATGCCCCAGGGTCTGGGAGCAGGAGGAGGATCGGAAAAGGGAGAGGGCAGGAGAAGGCCCAGAGATGCTGGGGGGCCTCCTCTCCACATCCTGTCTGGCCTCGGGGACTCCATCTGCTGTCCCCCCTCCCTGCGGGCGGTCCTGGCCTCACTTCTGAGTCATTAGCTGGGCTTAGGGGTCTGGAGGGGAGGAAGTGAATACCTTGGCCGTGGCTCTCTGAGGAGACAGCCGCGAAGTAGGCTGAGGGAACAGACCCCTTGCACTCTATGGGACTCGAGGATGCTTATCCATCCCCTTCTTGGTTCTTGATTCCTCTGTAGGTTAACTCAGACTGGAGATGCTGAGAGGCTAAGAGGCAGGAAGGCCAGAGGCCCCCAAATGGAGGAAATAGGCTGCAAGTGTCAGACATTTTTATCTCTCTCTTAAGTGGCAGGAGGAAACAAACTACAAGTGTCAGACTTTCCCCCTCTTCTCTATACAAAATTAAAAGGAGGTTTCTTTTAAAATTCTCTGTTGCCATGATGACACCTGGTTCCACCTGAACTTAACTTTTCTCAAACCTTGAGAGAACCAATGCATTTTTTTCTCATGGAAATGCTTTTCTTAACCTATGTTAATGAACTATGTATTGAGAGGGTAACAGTCAGGAAGGCCAGGGGTCTCCAAAGGGAGGAAATAGGCTGCAAATGTCAGACATTTTTACCTCTCTTAAGTGGCAGGAGGAAACAAACTAGCGATATTTTTTTCTTTCTCTATACAAATTTAAAAGGAGGTTTCTCTTAAAATACTGGGTTGCCATAATGACACCTGGAGTCATCTGAGGTTAACTATTCTCAAACCTTGAGTTAACCAATGTATTTTTCTTATGGAAATGTTTGTCTTAAGCTATGTTAATGTACTATGCATTTACCCCAAACTCTGTCTTCAAGTGGGTTCCGCCTAATGGCTCAGAACCTACTTGACAAACCATTATTTTATACTCAGATATTGTCCCCCTGATCTATGTAAATGAAACTATTTGTATGGTAATCTGCCCTTCTATAAGATTCAAGTCAATTGTTTTATGGCCCGGGATGAATCATCTGGTGCCAAGATTATCCCAAAATATTCAAGTCAATTGTTTTATGGCCCGGGATGAATCATCTGGTGCCAAGATTATCCCAAAATATTCAAGTCAATTGTTTTATGGCCCGGGATGAATCATCTGGTGCCAAGATTATCCCAAAATACATTTTATGGATGAGGGGCCTGGTGCCATTCTGTTTTAAGACATTGCTTTTTTTCATTAACAGACTGCTAGTGACTATATAACATCCAGCTAAAGACTAGCTGGGGGGTACTCTTTCTGCTCCCTTCTAATGCCTATGTCAGAAGCTGTCTCTATCTTCTTTATACTTTAATAAAACTTTACTACACAAAAGCTTTGAGTGATCAAGCCTTCCCTCCGGCCCTGGACTGAATTCTTCTCCTCCGGAGGCCAAGGATTCTGGCGTCTTTTCGTGGGTCAGGAACAACCTTTCAGTGTTTACCCTAGACTTTTTCTTCAAGTCGGTTCTGCCTAAGGCTCAGAACCGAGTTGACAAACCAGTATGTTTTACTCAACAAACTAGTTTCTACATTTGCATGTTTTACTCATGCAAATGTTCTCTTAAGCTATGTTAATGAGACTATGTATTTGCTTGGAAATCTGCCTTTCTTCAAGATTCATGTCAATAGTTTTATGGCCTGGGTTAACTCACCGTGTGCCAATAAATTATCTGAAAATACATGTTGTGGCTGAGCGGCCTGGTGCCAGTCTATGTGTTTTGAGACAGTTCCTTTTACTAATTAGCAGTCTGCTAGTATGTATATAACTTCCTGCTAAAGACCAGCAGGGGGGTACTCTTTCTGTCCGCTTCTGATGTCTATGTCAGAAGCTTTTTCTATCTCTTTTATACTTTAATAAAACTTTATTACACTAAAGCTCTGAGCGATCAAGCCTTGTCACTGGCCCCAGATTGAATTCCTCTCCTCCAGAGGCCAAGAATACTGGCATCTTTCATGGCTCAGCGACTGTTCATCTTGGGGGCTCATCTGGGATTCTTTAGGACAACTTAAGAATGCTTGGAGCTCTAGGTCTTTGTTCTCCTAGCAAACACATTTTCTGCTGTACTTTACTAACTCTATGGTGTGCTTGTGTGTGTGATTGATTGAGAGATACACGTGTGAAGCAAGAGCTGTGTCCTAATCTGTGGTTCTGAGGTGACCTCACATGGCTTATGGCAGAAACCTCATTGGGGAATTATACCGACCTGCTAATGTCAAGAGGCACCCAATGTCTCCTCCAGGGGAACAGCCAGAGATGGACAAAGTGTGTGAACCAAATTCTCCTTTTTCCATCAAACTTTCCAGTCTCTTTGACCATTTCATAACTTCCTGGGAATTAGAGCTACTAACCTGATCTGTAGGCTCATAGACTTTCAAGCGACTCGTGATCTATGCTATTACTGTGTACTGTTACTTAGTTCGCAAACTTGGATTGGTAGTTAGGAAACGCCTAGCCTCGCTAAGAGTCGAAAGTATGGAAGCTAGATGGAGCTCTAGCTCCAAGAGCATCTCTCGGGTTAAAGGTTACTCAGACAGGAAGTATAGCGGGCTTCTTCCTTTGGTAACTCTAGCTTTTAGCGGACCAGAGGAGGCTCTCCAGAGGCTTCTGTCCCAACTCCTTACCTATTCTTTCTGTGGAAACTGTGGGAATGAACTGGAAGGACTGGCCCTCATAACTCGAGGACAAAGTCACTTTTGCCTCGCTGGCCAGCCCTTCACCATCTCTTCTGCTATCACTTATGATGGTGTGGTGATGCTTGGGAGGAACATCTGATTTTATGTTCGGCCCTTTATGATTCACCGGCTTAGTGTTCAGGAACACACCCAGGGTTGTGCGCAGGCGCTCAGGAGATGACTGCTTCCCCCAGCGGCCTGAGCTTGGCAGGTGTTCCAGAAGGTTAATCAGGTGGCACCTCGGGTGGCATCAGAGGCGAGCAAAGGCTTTAATGGTGAAGAACTGGATATTAGTCTGGGATGCCAGCAGGTCTACCCCTGATGCATCTCCACCCTGCCTCAATGGTAGAACGGGGAGGGATGGTAGAGGCATACCTGAATCAGTAAGAGACAGGTTGACTCTGGCCAGGAAAGGAAGCTTAGTTGGAAGACCTGTCTCCATTTCCATCTAGAGCAGGAAGGGATGCCTCCGGTAGAAAGACAGTGCTGGTCGCTTTTTTTTCTCTCTTATAGATGGGAGCTAACAATTCCAGCCTCACTCCTTTGAAAAACTGGGATAGATTTGATCCCCAGAGCTTAAAGAAGACACGCCTGATCTTCCTAGGAGATACTGCATGGCTATGGTATCCACTGGAGGGTGGCGACGGGTGGCTGGTTGGAGGGTCTCTTAATTATAATACTGTTTTACAATTAGACAGGTTCTGTAGAAAACAAGGGAAATGGATAGAAGTAGCATATATGTTGCCCTTTTTCTCTCTGTGAGACATGCCAGATTTATGTCCTAAGGGTATCGATTTGGGTAGGAAGCTTTCAGCTCCCTACTTGGCTTTAAGACCTTACTTGGAAAGATGTGATGTATATCCTGGGACAGATGCTAACTCCTGACTCAAAAACTCGAGTTTTGGGGAAAGTTGTTGCCTATGGAGATGAATGGCTTGGAAATGAATCAGTAGGGAAGAGGGAGGATGAGATAGCTGCCCTCCCCACTGGGAATCAGGTGGTCCCAACTATAGAACCAGATTGGGATTATAACATGGCTAAAGGAAGATGGGATTGGAGTCATTTTGTCAGATGTGTTCTTGAAGGACTCAAGCAAGTGCGTGCTAAGACGTTAAACTATGCCAAATTGACAAACATAGAATAGGAAGAGAAGGAAGCTCCTGGTAAATTCCTAGATAGACTGAGGAAGCCCTTTGCAGATTCACTGAGATTGATCCTGAAAGTGAAGAGGGAAGAGTGATCTTGAAGCACAGATTTCTCATTCAGTCGGCTCCAGATATCCACCGTAAGCTACTAAAACAAATGTATGAACCAAATCAGTCTTTAGATAATCTGTTGCAACTGGCTCAGACAGTCTATTATGGCAGGGAATATAAGGAAAAGGAAAGGCAGAGAAAGACCAAGGAACAGGTGGAAGCCCTTGTAATGGTTGTCAGAACTGTTCTTTAACAGCCTGAGAAAAATACCAGGAGGGACCTAGGTGAAAAGGGATGGCTTGCTATTACTGTGGAAAGGAGGGGCACCTCAAGTGGGATTGCCCTCAGGCATCTAAGCCACCCCAGGCTCCATGTCCAGTCTGTAAGGAACCACACTGGAGGAGAGACTGCCTCCAGAGGTGTAGGTCCAAGGGGTCAGACTCTCAAGACAATCAGGACTGAAGGTGCCCAGGGATTTCCACACAAGCTCCCATCCTAATTATACCTGAGGAACCCCAGGCATTAATAACTGTGGGGGCCCAATCTGTCAATTTCCTTTTGGACACCAGGGCAGCCTATTCTGTGCTTCCTGAAGCCCCTGGCCCACTTTCTCCCCGATCTGCTTCCATAATGGGGCTGTATGGATTAGCCAAACATTATTATTTCTGTCATCCTCTAAGCTGTCACTGGGACTCTTTGCTATTTTCACATGAATTTCTGATCATGCCAGATTCTCCCTCACCCCTTTTGGGAAGGGATATACTGAGCAAAGTCCATGCCTCTGTTTTCAAGAATATGGAGCCTTCCCTTTCTCGCCCATTAATTGAACAAAATGTAAATCCTAGAGTGTGGGCTGATGGAAAAACTGTGGTCAAGTACAAAATGCTATTCCTGTAGTTGTTAAACTCAAAGACTGACACTTATTTCCACATCGAAAACAATATCCACTAAAAACAAAGGTTAAGGAAGGGTTAAAACCCATCACTGAAAATTTAAAGGACCAGGGGCTATTAATTCCCTGTAGCAGTCCATGCAACACTACTATTTTGGGTGTAAAGAAGTCAAATGATGAATGGAGACTAGTTCAAGATTGACAATAAATGAGGCTGTAGTTCCTTTACACCCTGGGGTGCCTAATCCTTATACTCTGTTGTCTGAAATTCCTGAATGAGCCAAATATTTTTAAATCATCCCCTATCTATGACTTTAAGATAATTGAGAAGGTTTTTAGGAATCACAGGCTACTGCCACATTTGGATTCCAGGTTATGGGGAACTTGCCCGGCCTTTATATAAACTTATAACTGAAACTCAGCTAGCCCAAACTAACAAACTGGTTTGGTCTCCAGATGCTCTAAGGCTTTTAAGGCTCTTCAGATTTCTCTCCTGCAAGCTCCCACTATGATCTTGCCCACAGGGTCAGAATTTAATTTGTTTGTCACTAAAAGAAAAGGTACGACCTTGGGAGTTTTGACACAACCCCAAGGGCCTCACCAGGAGCCTATAGGATACCTGAGCAGAGACTTAGATGTAGTGGGTTAGAGTTAGGGCATGTGGGTGGCCACACTATCTAAGAGTAATTTCTGAAACTGCTTTATTAGGATGTGAAGCTCTTAAAATTATTAATGGGTGAAATCTTACTGTACTAATGAGAGAGTCAATTCCTGGGCAGGTTGATAAGAAGTCCAGGGGTCCCCAAGGAGAGAGGGGTCTGGAATTCTCAAGGAGGAAGAAAAGACAAACTTTTTTGTCTTTCTATATTCCTTAGGATTATATAACAATAATGTATCCTGCTTGAGAACAGTCTCTGGAAAAAACCTTCTGGCTAATCCTGTTATCTTAAGGTGTAAACTATGGGAGTAGGTCTAGTGAGGTCTTTATAATCTCCAGACATTCTTTTGATCCACTGTAATAACTAGAGAGTATATAACTCCATGGGTAACACTAGCAAGTGGGTACTCTTTCTGCCCCCTTCTGATGCCTATGTCAGAAGCTTTCTCTATCTCCTTTATACTTTAATAAAACTTTATTACACCATGTCTGATTCCTGTCAATGTATGGCAAAAACCACTACAATATTGTAAAGTAATTAGCCTCCAACTAATAAAAATAAATGGAAAAAAAACTTTATTGTACAAAAGCTCTGAGTGATCAAGCTTTGTCTCTGGGCCCGGATTGAATTCTTCTCCTCCAGAGGCCAAGAATCCTGGCGTCTTGCATGGCTCAACAACAACTTTTCATCTTGAGGGCTCATCTGGGATTCTTCAGGACAAGGTAAGGATGCTTGGAGCTCTAGCTCTTTGTTCTCCTAGAGAACACGTTTTCTGCTGTACTTTACTAACTCTACAGTGTGCTTGCATGAATGAATGAAACGCCCTGCGTGAAGCAAGTGAGGAGCCCTGCTCTGCGGTTCTGCGGCGACCTCATATGGCCATGGCAGAAACATGTCGGGGGTTTATACCGACCTGCCAATGCCAAGAAGCACCTAATGTCTCCTTTAGGGACAAACCAGAAATGGGCAAAGCGTGTGGACCGAACTTTCTTTTCTCGGTCAAACTTTTCAGTCTCTTTGACCATTTCATAACTCCTTGGAATTAGAAGTACTAACCTAATCTGTCGGATCGTAGACTTTCAAGGGACTTTTGATCTATGCTGTTACTGCGTACTATGACTTAGGTCCCAAACTTGGAGCGGTAGTCAGGAAGCACCTAGCTTTGCTAGGCACGGAAAGTTTGGAAGATAGATGGAGCTCTAGCTCCAAGAGCATCTCTGAGGTTAAAGGTTACTCAGATTGGAACTACAAGGGATTGTTTTTCCTTTGGTAACGCTGGCTCTTAGTGGACCAAAGGAGACTCTTATNATGCGAAGAGTTGACTCATTGGAAAAGACCCTGATGCTGGGAGGGATTGGGGGCAGGAGGAGAAGGGGACGACAGAGGATGAGATGGCTGGATGGCATCACTGACTCGATGGACATGAGTTTGAGTAAACTCTGGGAGTTCATGATGGACAGGGAGGCCTGGCATGCTGCAGTTCATGGGGTCACAAAGAGTCGGACACAACTGAGCGACTAAACTGACTAACTTGTCTTTCTTCAAGTCGGATCTGCCTATGAGTCGGAACCAACTTGACAAAACAGTATGTTTTACTCAACAAACCAGTATGTTTTACTCAACAAACCAGTGTGTTTTACTCAAGAAACCAGTGTGTTTTACTCATGCAAATGTTCTCTTAAGCTATGTTAATAAGAGTATGTATTTGCTTGGAAATCTGCCTTTCTTCAAGATTCATGTCAATAGTTTTATGGCCTGAGATGACTCACCTTGTGCCAATGTTATCTCAAAATACATATTGTGACTGAGTGCCCTGGTGCCAGTCTATGAGTTCTGAGACATTTCCTTTTACTAATTAGCAGTCTGCTAGTATGTATATAACTTCCTGCTAAAGACCAGCAGGGGGGTACTCTTTCTGTCCCCTTCTGATGTCTATGTCAGAAGCTTTCTCTATCTCTTTTATACTTTAATAAAACTTTATTAAAAGCTCTGAGCAATCAAGCCTTGTCACTGGTCCTGGATTGAACTCCTCTCCTCCAGAGGCCAAGAATCCCAGTGTCTTTCACCGCTCAGCAACAATCTCTCAACACCACCCCCAATTCTGGATTACAAGTGGAAACCAGTCAGAGACGAGGCAGCTGATTACCTGAGCTTTCCCTAAGGTCTTCTGAGTTCATGATGGCAGCAGCTGGGTCTCAGAGATCGCCCTCAGCTCCTTGTCTGGGTCAGGCTGGAAGGAGGTGATGCTTCACCCCTGGGGAAGAGAACACAGACTGTGGACTCCATCAGTAGTGAACGGTGGCTGCAGGGAGCAGTGAGGGGGCACGGTCTCTGGCGGGTTCCCCTGGGGCGGCCACAAGTGCCACTGGGGACTTAACCTGGCTTGTTTCTCTGTCTCCTGGGTTCTGCTGGCTGCTAGTTAAGGAAAGTTACTCATCCTCCCACCAGCTCCCTCCAAGCCAACTCAAAGTCCCGATCTCTTGTTGGGGCACAAGGAGAGGATAATCAGACAGGAGACAGCCATCTGTGAAGTTATAAAAGCAATAAAACCAGAGACAGAAAAACAGATAGGAAGGGAATACTCTGGAAATTATATGAGGTTGGGAACACTTGGGCTTACTAACTGGTAATAACCAATATTGATCCATTGTCTATGATGTGCAGGCTCCTGAAACTCACCTAAACTTAGGTCAGCCCAAGTTTTCACACTGCTACCAGAGCCTGGACTTGAACCCAAGTGTTTCTGATCCAAATCCCAGGTTTGTGATGACTATGCTCTACTCCCTTTAATGTAAAAAAATTTATAATTGTGGATGTATGCTTATTGGAAAATAACTCTTCTTAATTAAAATGATGTCTTGCTCCTGTGCTTGAGTCTCTGCCTTGATAAAGTTCCTGGTGATACAGCTCCCATAGCCTGTGCCCTCCTTGATTCTACAAGGCCCTTTATCCCACAAGAGCCTGGGGTCCCTCTGGCCCTGCCCCAATCCTTGTATGCCCCCCTGGGCGTCTGAGGACCCCGATGGTGCCCCGTCCCCTCTGCTGTCCCCTCCAACTAGTGGACTTTCAGGCTGCTTCTGATTCTTTTATGTAAATAATAATGCAAAGAACATTCTCCTTGTAAAAAACTTCACCTGTATTTGAGACTGTTTCCTTAAGCTATTTCTACAAGCATAATTACCAGATTAGAAGGCATGAACACTTAAAAAATTTTCATACCTAGAGCCAAACTGTTATGCAAACACATTATAGCAATTTACATTCACACTCATAATATATGAGAGTATCTATCCTTTCAAAGGTACTCATTCTCAGTGGACTTTTTAAAACAAAAAATCCAGATATTTTGGGATACATTTCAATTCTATTTATGTTTAGCTCAATCAATGATATCCATTCTTTGGTTAACACTAAATCCTAATGTTATTATAAATTCAGCTATATTTTAAATTAATTTAAAATTTTAGCTATGGTAAACACATATGATTATCATTGAATCAGAATATATAATATTAAATAAAAGATTAAATTTTGGATAATAAAATAAAAAATCCAGATATTTATATAGAGACAATTTATTTTGGTTCTTCTTGTGATTATGTTGCCTTGAGAGGTGAAGAAAGAGAGCAAATGTTGATTATATTTAGCCACATTTTTAAAGAGCACTTATTAACTACCTCTGCTGAGACCTGACTTAGATGACAGTAAAAATACTTATAGGTATAATAACAGCTATTGATAAGAGTGACTTGTGCTTGTGGTCTTTGCTCTGCATCAGTATTTGCTATAAAACTTTACCAATGATAACTCGTATTTCATTCCATTAATCTTTGAGACATGTACATTGTATCAGTATTTACAGATAAGGAAGCTGACTCACAGATGTTACACGACTTGCCCAAGGTCAGAAGTCTTGCCCTTGGTAGACTGGATTCCAACCTCCTTACTAGGCTCAAAAACCATAGCCTGCCTCTCCTCCCTCTGCTACTAATAAAATCAAGCATGTGGGCAATAGGAGACCAGAGAGTTCAACAAATTTGAAGACTCACTGGATGGGGAAGTGATGGCTGAGTAAAGAGGAGTGTGGTAGAGGGAGAGAAACAGCGAGCGTGTTCACAGGAGAGAAGACTGGTCTGCTGGGCAGAGCCCCAGAGAGGGAGCAAGATGAGAGGAGGCCGAGGGGAGAGCAGGGGACAAGCTCACCAGCCCCACATCCCATCCCATATTCACAGCAGCCTCCACTCTTTGCCCAACTTTTCAGAGAGCTACAGGAGTACAATCAGTGATTCAAAATTTTAAAGTTGGTATTTCATTTATATTCATTATTTTATGATTTTTATCTTTTAAGATAAAAAACTATTTAAACATTAGAAATGAATCTACTTGTTAATCAATATAAAAATTAAGGCACGCTGCTACAAGTTGGGAGCTGAAGCACTTGAGGGAGGATGAGGACTAACATTTCATTTTACAAAGCAGGAAGTCAAGAAATGCTGGCTTCTGTTGAGGGCTTAAGAAACAAAGGAGTAAGCAAAGTGCTTACAGTTACAAGGTTTTCTAATAGAGGGTATAAACTTAATGATATAATGATATTAGGAGAAAGTGGGGAAAAGGTATAAGAAAAAGTATACAAACAAATGAAATCATTATTTTTTCCTAGTAAGAAATAAATAATAACACAATTTTTAAATCATGAAAAAGAAAAATGCAATATCTAATATGTATTAGCTATCATGGTCGATGACTTCTCTCTTTGCACCAGGCAACATTCCAAGTGCTTGGTAGGCATTCACTCACTTTTATTTCTCATAATGGCCCTGTAAAAAAGGAAGCAGAAGCTCCGAGAGGTGAAGCAATTTACTCAAAGCACACAGCTAGTGCTAGAGCCAGAATCTAAGTCCAGGTTCCTGTCTCCTGAGGACACATTCTCACACTATTCTGCCTCCCAATGTAGTAATATAATTTAAAGACATTGATTAACTATCAAAAGAAATAGCTTTTCCTTGGAAAGGAATGAGCAGAACCCTCTACAAATTGATCTATTTTAACCATATGCACTTAGGACTGGATTGTTTTAACTCTAAGACAGCAGCAGTCACTTTATAGCAGTCAGTAACCCACAAAATGGGGTGGTTTCTAGTACTACCACCTTAAAGATGACTGAAGGTGGTTGAATCAAGTGCCAACAAGAAATAAGCCTGACTCCTGCTGCGACAGCTGTCAGTGTAGCAGACATGTTCATGTGGATGAAACCAACTTCTCTAGAAAAGTAGGAATTATAGCAGGGTTAAACCAGAATAATCAGTGTGAACTGTGACCTTAAACAGACATTGTCCAGCAGCATCTTGCCCACCCACATCTGCACCCATGAGCTTCCTTCTGTCCACTCAAAGGAAGGAAGACACCGTGCAGGGGAGGTGAGCTCCACAGATTGGCATCTCTGCTACTCAAAAGGGGCACCCACATACAACAATAATAATAAATAAAAAGATAATGATTACTATAAATATGTTTCATTGGGCCAGGTTGAGTCCGTGAAAGGCCATAAACTCATAATAATATTTAAAGGAGAGGACTTTAGAGAAAGTATGGCCAGAAAGGGAGACATAAATGTTAAAAAGCATGAAGATCCTCTGGAGAAGGGAATGGCAACCCACTCCAGTATCCTTGCCTGGAAAATCCCATGGACCGAGGAGCCTGGCAGGGTCGCAAAGAGTTGGACATGACTGAGAGACTTTCAGTTTCAGTGGTAATGCAGGAGATGCAAGACTCAAGAGATGTGGGTTCAGTCCCTGTGTTGGGAAGAACCCCTGGAGAAGAAAATGGCAACCCGAACCAGTATTCTTGCCTGTCCACTACTCTCTGCAGCATCCAATCTAGAGCAGCCCTATTTCCTTAGAGCCTCCCCCAAATCCCCTTACCTGAGCCCCCATCCTAGCATCTTTGTTTCTAACACTTCCTCTCTGAGATAGCCAGGGTTCTTCAGGAAGAGTAACCATCAGCTTGTTCACTAGGGAGTGTGCCTGGTGGCGGAGGCTGGAGGCACTGACTGTGTGGAGGGGAGATAATTCACACAGGCGGGCCCACCTCCAAGCAGCTTCCTTTCTCTGTCCAAGCCACTCCTGCTCTGCTTATTCCCTGGCTGCTCCATTTCCAGCTGCTGCTGTTTGTTCTCTGACTAGGTCTTAACACAAAGAGTTCCTTTGGCCTTGAATGCTCCTCACGCCCACCTGCTCTCCTGAAATTCTACCTCCTCCAGTGCCACCTGACTTTACCCTGGACCTTTCTGTCTCTTGTCTCAGGGCCTGGACATCAGGGATGTGTTTTCTGGGCTGCTCTATGGTGAAGGGTGTCTGTATGACCCTGTCCTGCTGAAGGACACACAGGGGAAGGCAGCTGAGGGGTCTGGGGGCTCCTGCTATAGGGGAAGGAGGGAGAGGAGAGCTGGCTGGCCTCTGTCTCCTTCTCTACCTCAAAGCTGCAGGACCCTGGGAGCCAGGGCAGCCAACTGAAACTCTGAAACACAAGGACCAAGAGCCAAGCAAGAGAGGAGGAGGGTGCAGGCAGAAAGGACTGATCCTGGATGATGCCAAACTCTTGTAAATGCGTGTGGACCCTCCACCTCATCCTTCCGTCCTTCCCTCCCATTCCTGGCCTGGTCCTGACCCTTGTCTGGGGCCCCAGCTGCCTGTGGATGCTGATAATGCTCCCTCTGCTGGATTACTATCGCTGCATCCTCCTCTGTTAGCCTCTGACTGGTCCCTTTCCCAAAGGGCTGTTTCTGAGAAAAGGGAGGACTGCAGAGAAGCCCGTTCCTGCCCAACTGCATGGCCAGGCACAGAGCCCTTCTCTCCCTGTGGGCAGACAGAGATTCTACCAAACATCTCCCTCCATGTGACTTCAGGGCATCATCCTTAGGCCGGGAAGGGGGCGGTTATGGCAAGATCAAGTTCAAAGTCCTTAGCCCAGCACCCAGGCCCTCCTGATGCTCTTACTCCTGTCTTCCTCACCTTCCTGCCTTCTCAGAGTGTGATCCAGGAGCCTTGAGTACTTCTGGACTCTGATTCCCCCCCAGCTTCCAGGTCTTCACTCAGGCTGCTCCTCCCCCTGCAGGTGGTGAGACATTGCCCCACCTGCCTCACCAGGTGAAATGTTTCCTGATCTTGGAGGCCCAGCTCCAAATCCTCCTCCCCCTGCTGTCTACCCCAGTTCCTCTCTAGGCCCCCCTGGAATCTTGCACTTTCCTGCCTGTGG